GAGTCTCTGAAAACTCAGGTGAGCTCGGGCGTTCAGGCGCAGCTTCACCGCTGCAGAACTGTGTCAGAGTTCACTAAGATTCTGCTTCTTTCTCCCCGCAGAAGGTGGAGTACATGTTTGGGATAGTCGGTGTCCCCATCATTGAAGTGGCCATGGCTGCTCAGGCCGCTGGGATCAAATATGTGGGGATGCGTAACGAGCAGGCGGTAAACGATCTGCACTCTTTAAAAAGTGACCAAATCCTTCCGGTGTCATGATTGGATCTCACAGGTTGTCCTGTCGCCCTGCAGGCGTGCTACGCTGCATCCGCGGTTGGATACATAACCGGGAGGTAAGAGCTCTTGTTTGCGGAGCTGACCAATGTGTCCGGGCTGCTGCTGTGTCCTTCTTTGATGCTTGACATGTTGCTACATTCTTGTTGACCTCTGACCCCAGACCTGGAGCCTGCCTGGTGGTGTCTGGACCTGGACTCATTCACGCTCTGGGTGGGATGGCAAACGCCAACATGAACTGCTGGTATTACACCACAGTGAAACTTTTCCTCTTTCACTGTCACCTCTGTTGTTTTCATCCACACCCTAAAACTATTTCATTTACTGTTATCGTTCATTTTATTATTATTTGGAAGTGGAAGGACTTTATTTCTTTACATTTACTGTATCACTCACTTGGCCCGAGAGTTTTTGACTATTTTAATCCATGCCTGGGAATGTCTGTTTGTACTTTGTGTATGTGGGCAGTATGTATGTCTTTTTTTGTTGTAGTTTATTTATTTAATTATTATTATTATTATTATTATTATTATTATTATATATTTTTTAAATTAATTAATTATTTTTTATTTTATTTTATGTTGACACTGCTGTGCTCCATGTTTGTTCGGGGTGGCTTGTTCTTGTTTACTTGTGTTGGTGTTTACATATAGTTAAAAAAAACAATAAACAAATTAAAAAAAAAGGAAATGGAAGGACAATATAGAGAGTAAGTACACAATTATGAAGATATGTATGTTTCAATTTTGTTTCCACAAAATACATGAGTAGTCACCTAATTATTAAATGACGTCCATTCAGAGGTTTGTTGGAGAACATTGTTGAACAAAGAACCATGAAGCTGTATCAGAGAACTGAAAAGAATTGAAGTTTGATATGGTGGAATGTGAAAAGGTCAAAGTGGCGGTGGTTTCTCCACGCAGGCCAGTGCTCGTGGTCGGCGGCTCCTCGGATCGAAACCAGGAAACGGCGGGGGCCTTTCAGGAGTTTCCCCAGGTGATTCTACCTTCCTGTGGGTTTCTCTTTCACTCCGAGTCTCTGCTCTGACTCCGGTTTTATTCATTCTTAGGTGGAGGCGTGCCGCCTCTACAGCAAGTTTACTGCCAGGCCCAGCAGTCTGGAAGCTATCCCCTCAGTCATAGAGAAGGTGACTGCGTGTATCGTTTGTTTTCACGTAAATAGGATTCCTTAAGAGTGAATTAGATTTGATCGTATTTGTTCGCACACAGGCGGTCCGCACCAGCATATACGGACGCCCGGGTGCTGTCTACGTTGACATCGCAGGGGACATGGTCAATGCTAGAGTAGAGCGGGACAAAGTCAGGTTTGTTTGATTTTAATGCGTCTTTTTTATCTAAATGGCCGTTCAAAGTGTAAAAGAATAAGATAAATGGATCTCTTCTGCAGGGAAGTGTCCTGCTGTCCACCTCCACCTGTGAGTTTGGCCGCCAGCCCTGCAGTTGAAGATGCCCTCTCTGTCCTAAAAGAAGCAAAGACACCTTTGATCATCATTGGAAAGGGTAAGACAAAGAATTTTTTTTTTTCAAACTTATACAGGTGTAACTATTTTTTTTTGCCTGCAATGCAAATTAGTTGCAACAGAATGAGGTTGTGAAGGTGTGTGTTCTGAGCAGGAGCAGCTTACAGCAGGGCGGAGGCTGTGCTGAGGGAGTTTGTGGAGGAGAGTGGGCTCCCGTTCCTGCCCACACCTATGGGCAAAGGAGTCCTGCCCGACGATCACCCCAGCTGTGTGTCCGCCGCCCGCTCCAGGTCGGCCACCTGCTGTAACCTAATCAAGCTCCAGAACTGAACATTCACATGTTTTTATTATTATTATTATTATTATTTTCTGCATTTTTTGTTTAAATTCTGCAGTGAAGTTAGATTTATTTTTGCACATCTTTACGAAGCGTCTCCCACAAACATTAACCTAAACTTGTTATTGCTCTTATTCTTTTTTTTTTTTAATCTGTTGCAAAGAGCTCTTCTTCAAGCCGACGTCGTTCTTCTGCTCGGAGCGAGGCTGAACTGGATGCTGCATTTTGGTCTCCCACCCAGATTTAATCCTCATGTTAAAATCATTCAGGTGCGTAAATGTCATAGCCAATATTTCACAGCACAGCTGTTAAAACCCTAAGTTTGCACGATAATCTGCTGCAGGCGTCTCGGCGCTATAATAAAATGAAACCAAACGATTCTTCCAGGTTGATCTCTGTGCCGAGGAGATGGGGAACAACGTGAAGGCAGGTGTTGCTCTCCTGGGGGACGTCGGTGCTGTTGTATCTCAGGTCTGACATGAGAGTCAGTACTTCATCTTCCCTGTAGATGTTGACTGATTAAATAATTGCATTTTTTTTTTCCCTTCAGCTCCTGACGTGCATCCGCAAAGATGGCTGGAAATATCCATTTAAGACCGAGTGGTGGAGCGCGCTCAGCGAGAAGGTTGCTGCTAATGCAAAAATATCAAGGGTGGGTCTGACTGCTCTCATTTCGGACAAATCTGCTGTTTCAAACTCTTTGCAGATATTCCTAATTGAAGCTCTTGCTTTCGTAACAGGCTCTGGCTCTTAAGGCAACATTGCCCATGAACTACTACACTGTGTTTCACCAAATCTCTCAGCTGCTTCCACGCGATTGCATCATCGTTAGCGAGGGCGCTAACACTATGGACATTGGACGCACCATGCTGAATAACTACCTACCCCGACACAGGTAAGGTGTTTCATCAGCATCAAGTGGCACAGAGTGGACAGATGGAGATGACTGCACATCTGATAACTACTCTGAAATTAGTATATAATATATATATATTTTTTGTTTACGTTCTACCAGAAATGGTCATGCATGTCATTTCTTTTCAACTTAATGCAATTATGTCTTAAATTGGTTAAAATGTCAAACATCAATCCCAGGATTAGCCCTAACTTTATATCTTTTAAAATGAAACTGTGCCTGACATGTGATCAAAGGACGCTTGCAGTGAAATGTCACATTTCTGAGCACCGCTAAAATATTTTAATATTGTGATCTTTTTAAAAACAATCTATATTTTATTTGTAGCGGCATAATCTCAAAGTGCTGCAACTTAGGGACGAAAAACAACCTTTAACTAGAACACATTTCTTTTATTGGGTAAAAAGTATGGCAAGAAATATTTTTTTAGCAAAAGAAGAGGTGGCAGACTTATTGGTCGCCCCAAAATAGGGTGAATAAAATTACCCAAATTAGTTAATGGATTTTTCCACATTTTGTTTGTGAAATTATTCCACTGTAATAAAAAGATTCCTTATTCCAAGGGATTTCACATATTTCCATAAGGGTGCCAGTAAAATTGGCTGAATAAAGTCAATAGAGGAGCCTGAGTAGAGTAACTGTGTTGACGTGAAGGTTGGATGCGGGCACCTTTGGAACGATGGGAGTCGGCCTCGGCTTCGCCATAGCAGCAGCTGCTGTGGAGACGAGCAGGATCAAACCCCAAAGAGTCGTCTGTGTGGAGGGAGACAGTGCCTTCGGCTTCTCCGGCATGGAGGTCGAAACCATGTGCAGGTCGGTCACACAATTTCCATAATGCAGTCATGTTAATTTTTCCAACACCAGCGGACAGGTACTTTGTTTATTTTCCTTATCACTAGGTATAATCTGCCTGTGATCATTATAGTGGTCAATAACAACGGCATTTACAGTGGAGTAGACGCCGACACGTGGAAAGAAATGGCGAAAATGGGTGACCTTACCTCTGTGTGAGTCTTTCATTAATGAGAAAGTGCAACATGTATCATCTAATTTGTATTTCTATGTATAATCGCCTTCCTAAATGTGTACTCTCCTTCAGAGCGCCTCCCGTCTCCCTTCTGCCCGACGCCCGCTACGACGAGGTAATGACAGCGTTTGGAGGTCGAGGGTTTCTGGTGAGGACTGCGGAGGAGCTGCGCGGTGCCTTGCAGCTCTGCCTGACTGACTGGGAGAGACCGAGTCTGCTCAATGTGCTCATTGACCCGTCATCTGACCGAAAGCAGCAGGTACATGAACACCTCTGTAATTACATTGATCAGTCATGGTTCTGATAGGAATTGACTCAGTTTTTATATAGTGCCTGTCGGACGTTGTCATCCCACAAACTTCAGTATATTCCATTGAGATTTTATCTGATTGACCAACATGAATTGATACGTGGTGAAGACGTGCCAGGAACCGTGTCTCAGTTTGCTTGTTTCTTTTTACAAAAAAGTTTTTAAAAAAAGGATGTGAGCATTTTATTTCTTCCCCCTTTTCTCTGCCAACCCTAAATAAAATTCGGTCCAGGCAAATGCCTTCAGAAGTTTTATATACTAATTTACTTAATTAGTAAATGATCACCCACATCAACTGACAAAGTCCAGTCAAGGAGAGTATTCATTATTGAAGCAGCCACTGTAACAAGATACTAAACACTTTATTTACATTCACAGTAGAGGTTAAATAGGATGTGTAGGGTGAATTCACGCCACCCTGTGGCCTGAGTTGGTAACTACAACAGACAGGAGCGTTGATGAATGCAAAATCTTAGGAACTCCCTTAAAGGTAAAAGTAAAGGTTGACGTAATTTTATTTATATAACACATTTTCAGCAACAAGGCAATACAAAGTGCTTTACAGGATTTAAAAGGAAATACAAACAAAATGATAACAAACCAAAAGAAAGAGCAAAAGAAAAAGCTAATAATGTTGATACAAAGTAAATAAACTAGACTCATATTCAGGGTTGGTAGATAAGTATAAGTAAGTATCTTCTGGTCTAATTTCTTTTCTGGGTTAAAAGTGAGTATACCACAGTTTCTAACAAAATAAAATAAAAAAGAGGAAAGGACACATTAGGGAAATTGGCAACATTCAGACAAAACAAAGGGCAAAACAAAGATATGAGTGAAGGCAGTGACATCATAGGGCCATGAAACCACAGTGCTCGGCATCCCGGCAGAAGTCTGATAAGATGTTGTTATCGAGGAAAGTCCTTGGGAGCGCTCAGCTCCACAGCTGCATGGATAACAAGAGGGGGTGAGGTGGGAAGAAGCGATATGTTTACATATCTTCAAGGAGATTGGAAATCTGCAGCCCTTCTAAGGCAACACGGGAAAAGCCAATTCAGATAAAGAATGTCTTAGGTCGAGTAGATTATAAATTTCAATCTTCCCTAAAGTCTCTCTGATACATCTCAGTTCCCAATTATCCAAATTAGTTTGGTCGTTCCATTGAACCGAAACTAGCAACTTCTCCAAGATCGATTCCATTTCGTTAGTGAGCTTTGGAGTCCTCAGCTCTGTTGCAAGCTTCAGCAAGACTCGCATCCAATTTACGTCCCTGTCCACACCAACAGTCTGAGTGTTCGCTGGTTCGGCCAAGTCTGGCACAGATTTTTCGATAAGCCAGGTATCCGCAAGGTCCAAGCAGCAGAAATCCTGTTATCATGACTTTTTATGATGAAAACTTGCTCAGCATAATATACTAATGTATTTTAAGAAATAAAAGGGTCAACAAATGTAGTTCCCCTTTTACTATATATCCAGAGGGTACACATATTCCTAAGCAATATGTTTTAGATTTTGTAGGAAGTCAGGGGGAGCACAAGAACCTTTTGACCCTCTCAGCAGCACAACTGGCTGTCCTTTAAGGATAAAAGAGCGTTGCAGTTGAGGATTTGCATGGAGCATCAAACAGCTCGACCCTCGTCTCATCCTTCCACCGCTTTGTAGACCGACGTCCCACCCGGGGCATTAATCCGCGCACCCCAGGTGCATAGCCGAACTGTTGTATCCCCCTCACAATCCCTTCGTCTAACTCCAAGCTGACCTTTCTATTTCAGGGATCCTGTAATTAGAAAGCACAGCCTCTCTTTGTTTATGTTGAATGTATCCACGCAACCCTCAGCAGGCAAATCTGAAGGTTGCGTGAAGGTCTGTGTCTGGTGCTGAGGTTCCGCGCTTGCAGAAAACCTGTTTCTTTTTCTGAAGTGGGTTAGTTAGGTTGGTGTTTAGCATCTATATATGGACATAGAAGACAAAGTCGAGTCTGAGAGTAATGAAAATAAACCCCATTGGTCGGATGGATGTCACATTAGTGATGATCTAATGAATGTTGATGGTGTCTGTGTTTACAGGAGTTTCCTTGGCTCACACGCTCCAACCTTTAAGACTCAAACCTTCATCCAGAACGTCATCTGATGAGCGGTGGAAGCTTTAAAACATGAAACTGTTTTAATTTCATTGATTGTTCCTATGAAATAATTAATGTTTTTTGATTCTTGCTACGTTTTAGGAGCTAATAACATTTTACAGTGAAACCTTTCACAATAGTTAGTATTTTCTTCTGAAAGACTAAATATGACCTGTTAAGATAATGAATATTGCTGTTGCTTGATAAAATAAAATACCTAAAATCATGTGACATGACAAACCAATAAAAGCAAATGAACTTAAAAATGCTATTGATTTTTCACGTTTTTCCTCATCTTTCAGGATAACCTTCATGTGAATGACACAACAGATGATCCAGAAAATAAAAGTGCAACTATGAAACTTTTAACTACACATTTATTACATGCACTTCATATACTGTTGACTGATAGGCAAGATTGTATGAAGTCAAGAAATATTCATATTAAAGTTATTGATAAATTTAAGAGATAAATTAATATAAGTTCCAATACTGTAAAAAAGTATTTTTCTTCTTACAGACTTCTGTTTTTTGCTTCTGTAACACCTCAATGTTTCAGATCAGAGATCAAACTGTGTGTCGAAAATTTCCTGAGTAAATGCTACATGGAGTTTTGAAATGATGCTCTGATTGAGGAAAAGACCTAGCCAAAGCAGCATAGCGCTACGGTAAAAATGCAACTGCCCCATTTTTTAAAATTTCTTTTCTTCTTAACTCCACTCTTCCAAGAGGTAAAATAAACCAGAACGATACCCAGTGACGTGCGAGACCTCACTTGCTTCAGTAAAGCTTAGTGCCAAACGGCATGAGTTTCAAAGCAAAAGGAAGGGGGGCCAAAAAAGTTGCAAAGACCTTTCTCATATTCGACAACAAACATCTTGATAACTCCTGAAGACTTTTGGCAAAATTTCACGTGGACTAAGAAAACAGAGGTGTTTCATTTCTGACACTGCAGTGCAAACGTCAAATGCATTTTATCTTGCAAAAAAACAAAAAAATAGCAGTACTTTCTAATTGAGGTCACTCTTTCTTATGTTGTTCTATTTTCAGGATAGCAAATTGTGGCTTTATCTTTATTAAGACTCCCTACAGAGGAGTGGAAACAACAATAAGACCCCTCTACAGTAGTAGGGATCTAATATTGGCACTGAAGGCAGCTGGTGTGCTGTCTCCTGTAATTTTAGAGCACACCGATGCAGAGGAAAGATTTAATGGGTATTGGTCAGCGTACTCTCTTGTGAAGGCGTAAGGGAAACCGACAGAACGAGGGAGCAGAGAGGGAGGGCAGCGAGGGAGAGGACGGTGAGGAGAGGAGAGGAGCTGAGATAGAAAGGCAGCGTTTCAAGGCTGCTGTGGCTCAGACGTAAAGTCGGGCAACTATCTGTGGCAGCATGACCCTTCTAGCTGTTGGACTGTGTCTGCCACTGTGGTTTTCTTTTTGCCTGGCTCAGTCCTCATTTCTGGACAGCTTCCTGTCATTCCCAGCAGGTAGGCGCTTCTAAAACCATGAGCTTGCACATGAGGTGGGCTGCTGTGTGAGTGAGTTACTGCACTGGTGCATGCATTACACATGGGCTGAGGGCTTCTGGAAATACAGATTGTGAGTTTCACTGTGATCTCATCATAATGTCGAGTTGTTTGGATTTTCCTTGTTTCCCTTGAAGTAGACTTGTAAATGCCTCTATAAATAGTGAGAGGAGCTACAGTCCGTCTGCGAGAAGCACTTCATATCTGTGTCTGGGTGTCATGATTTGATATTTTGCACCTGTTTTCATGTTGCTTATGCTGCTTGTGCATCTTTTACCCTCTTGTAAGGTAGCTACCAAAATATGTCAGATCACTCCACACTGTTGCTTCTTTGCAGATGGATGGGCACAAGTTTAAAGTTTAATATTTCTTTGCTCACGTTTACAATATAGTCAGAAATGAGTTGTAACAGTAGGGCAAGTCATTTTTGTGAATATTCAATATCACTGAAATCAGCCATCATTGCCAACCAGTTTGTGACTATTCTGCAGTAGTTATATTGCATTACAGTAAAACATTAGCCCTCACTAGTTTAATATTTAGCAGAGTTAGAAAAAAAATAAAACACTGGCAGTGCTGCTAGTACAACTAGCAGGTCAGAAGTTCCACAAATAAGACATGGTGCTGGACTAGTAGTGCTAACTAGAAGGTTTTTTTGACCTGATAGTCAGCAGGAGATTACCTAGACTAACCTAAGGGAATAATATATTAAACTATTTCAAATACTTTTTAACATAAGAGCCAAAAGCATAAGTCAAGTTACGAGTTAGTCAAGCAGCAAACATTTCTTAGCCATATGAGTTTAATATGGAAATGAATTGCAGTATTGCACTAGCTATATATTTGAACATTATCTTCATTCAGGCAAACTAGTTGAAATGCAGTAGTTCACTTGTCTGGAAAAAAAAAAAAAAAAAAAAAAAAAGGCTTCACCCACTTAGGCTTAATTACAGCATTTTATCAAGTCCTTGAACTTGATACAGCATTTTAAAAGAGCAGACCGTTTACAATATTTTTACTATTTACAAATTCTTAGCTGGTTAACCAGCTAAGAATTTCAAATAGAGTAGCTTACTAGTCCAGCGAAAACACTTCACATAATTAACTAATGTGAAGTTAGTTATGCTTTACCAGTGGTTTAGTTCTGCACACACTACTCAAGAGGTAAACACTTTCTAGCTGCACTAGTGAACATGTACACTATTTGACATTTTTAGTTGCATCAGCTCTGTAACACTGACAACTGGACTTCCCTTAAGTCAACTAGCGTCCTTCCATTGGTCAGCCAGCCAATGCATGTTTCCACCACCGTTCTGCTCAAATCAGTTTCAACTAGCTGACTAACTGAAGCTAAGCTCTTCTTCTAGGCTAATTTTCCGTGTCAGTGAACAACTGCAATAAAGTGCATAAAATCATTAGTTGACAGTTTTTGTGATCTGGACAGCAATGGGTAAGTCTGTAACCAGTCAACAAGTGCTCCATTTAGGCTCTTTATTTTGACTAGCCTAATCCTTCAGTCACTCTAGTTGTCTGACGTACGCATTTAACGATCACAAGTTTAACACTTGACACTAGAGCCTTCCATTGATTTGGTCTTGTCGTTCACCGATGCGTCAAAAGCCAAGCTGAGACTTTAGCGCTCCTAAGGCTACATTTTTTTAAACGAGTGTGAATTTGAACTAAAAGGTAAAAACAGTGGTTGATTTCATATTTGAATATTTAAATAAACAGCTTGCTATTTCGACAGGTAAATAAACTTGACAGGTCAAGAGAACTTTTTAACCTCCGGCTTAATTTGTGACTGCATGTACGCTGTGCACAGCTCTCAGATCCCAGGAGCAGCAGAAGAGATTTAACCCATGCTGTTTACTGAGTCCTCCACCACCCCCGCTCTTCCCTCCACCCCCTTCACTTTGGCGCCGCCACACACTTGTGAGTCATGTGACTTTCTATTGTGGAGTATGAAGCTGTTAATATGTCCTTAGGTTACAGTCATATGGGCTGCTAGATATGTTTGGCACCAGAGTTCTCCTGGTGTTTTGTTTATGTTGAGACAATTGAATGTAGATCTGATTAATTTGAAATCAAACCTCATGTTTTACAGGAAGAAGGCGGTTCACATCATGGCAGTGAGTCTGGCCTTAAGAGTAAAGGTTCTGCCTGTGTCCAGGGCCCGCCTGGTCCTGCTGGACCTCCTGGGCCTCAGGTAAAGCACCAAACTCTTAAGATTCGAGATCTCATCGCTGACATTTCAACACATCCAACTCGTCCTGCTTCACGCACTAACAATTATGTGGCTTGACTACAAATCACTTCATAGAAGGGAAGCGTTTTGGTACTCGAGCAAAATATTTGCCCCGGTCGCCCCTCCGACTTGATAGTTCCTGCGGAGAAGATGGGGATTTCTCTGGCCCTTACAGCACAACAGTCCATTAACGCTCCACATTTAGCTGCGACACAAATAGCCTTTTTCCACTGCCAGCCAGTGTGCCACACATCATTCTCAGAAACTGTCCGAGGAGCTGGGAAGGCGTGCTGTGTCGCGTAAAATCCAGGGATCTCCGGCGTACGATGGTCATTTGTTTGTGTTTTCAAGTCATAACACACATATATATATATATATATATATATATATATATATATATATATATATATATATATATATATATATATATATATATATATATATATATTATTTTCATTCCGTTTGTGCTTGTGAACCAGATCAATGCTGCTGAGAAATTAGAGTTTCTGTGAGTAATAGGCAGCTTACCTCAAGCGGTTGTTGAGGCTTCTGCTTACACCACCAGACGGTCTGCAGTTCAGTCCATCATAAAGACCCAGGAGGCACTTCTCCAATCAATAGAGACCAGTCAGCCTTCAGCTAATTAAAACTGCAGCTCTGCTCTCCAAGAAGCATGTTGCCGACAGTAAAACTAATTTAGATGCCTATCTATGTGATTCATAACCAATTATTTTTGTGTTTTCTTATGATAACCAGGGTCCCCCTGGATTTCCTGGAATGAGAGGGCCTAAAGGAGAAAAAGTAAGCAGCTTATTTGATTTCCTCATCTTGTAATTATTCCTGAAAAGGCAGATTGAATTGACCTGTTGCACATGACTGAAAAATGCTTTTGGGAAGTTCATTAAGCGCCTGCTGTCCTTATCCCCTCCTCCACATCCTGTCGTCAGGGAGAAATTGGAAGACCTGGGCAAAAGGTGAGAGTCCCCGTTAATCATGCCGTTCTCCTTGCCACTGTAAGTGAATTTTCTCAAAAACGACACAAAGCATCCCCTCTGCATCCCCTGCAAGCAAGTGCACATCAGAAGAGGCACTGCGTGCGAGTGCACAACCTTGACAGGAGACAGAGCAGGCAGGCTGTCAGGATGCTAGGGATGCAGGGGCTGCTGAGGCTAAACACCTCAGTCATGCACGCTGACATGACTCTGCGTGCGGCATCAGGATTCGCGCCCGAGAAGAAACACATCTCCTGATCTTCAGATGAAGATCAGGAGACTCTTGTTGTTTGTTTCTTGGCAAAAGCAAGAAGAGAAGTGAGCTCTAAAACGTTCCTGGTCCGTGTGGCGGAGCAGTAAGTGCAGCCCCTTACCGAGCATGTTTGCAGCACTGCAGTGCAATTTAGCTTAGTGCTTCAGCCAGATCATTAATCATTTTATTCCCAAGAAGCAAAGACTCCCAGTTCTAAATACAGCCATCATTTAATTAAAGAGAGGAAAGTGACAGTGCTCGTTAAAGCCATTCTGCTTCTACATGTGCAGCAGGAATGGACAGACATTGCACTGTGCTGCCTGTCATCTGATGTGACATTCAGACTTCTCTTTCTCTCTTTCTCTCTCTCTTGTTTTTGTTCTAAACCTCTAAAACAAAGTACCAATAAAAGTCCTGATTTTATAAACTTACAAAACCGATGTGTCACACCAGGGTCGGACTGGGCCTCCTGGGCTTCCTGGGCAACAGGGACCTGCAGGATGGCCGGGACCACCTGGGGACAAAGTGAGTAAGTCAGACCTCATAATGTAGACCTCGTGAAACGCCATATAACCAACACAGCACCTTGCAGAAAGTGTCCATGCCTCTCGAGCTTCGTCACAGTCAAGAAGCACCGCAGAGCGTTTGGGAGACCCGGTGGAGAGGAGTTCAGAAACGAAGCAACTAAAAGACCCTCAGTAACTCTTGAGCAGCAAAACTCCACAGCTTTTGCTGACAAAAGCTGTGGAGGACAAATATTAGTCAAATAAAATAAGTGCAGGACAAATATTAGTCCCGCACTTCACAACACCAATTGTAATGGAAAACCGACAAGAAAAATGGTAAAAATTTGGAGACTCTGTTCAGATGAGACCAAAATTCAACATTTGGCTTTGGTGAAGCTTTTATTTGCTTGAAACTGGGGTATGAATAGTTTTAAAAGGTTGTAAATAGCAGGGACTGGAAGTACAGGGGAAAACATTTTCAACAAGGGTTTAGTTGGACGTGTTTTTAAGAAGTCAACCTGCTCCAGATGTTTAAATATTTTTTTTTTTTATATGATCAGGGTGAGAAAGGTGACCCAGGTTTGATGGGTTTGCCCGGATCTCGAGGAGCGATGGGGCCAAGGGTACGATCCACTCATAAAGCACTGGTGTCAACTTTACCCTTTTTTTTTTTTTTTTATTTACTGTTGTCTCATTATTTCAAATCTCTTTAATCGTAGGGTTTACCTGGGTACAAAGGGGAAAAGGTACCTTATCATTTTACTCATTTTCGCTTTGAAGGAGATAAACCATCTGAAGTACACACACTGTTTCTTCTCAGGGGTCCCGAGGTGATCGTGGTGAGCATGGAGTTAGAGGAGACAAGGTGAGCATGATGCGTCAGCAGAGGTTTGAATACATGTGCTACATGAAACATGAAGCATGTGCTGTTTTCTGCTCACAGGGCGCCATGGGTTTCCCAGGAATGCTTGGACAAAAGGGAAGTAAGGCTCAAATGAGCAGACGTTTATTCTTTGGTTTATTAGAAGTGCAACATTTGACTAGGTAAAATATTATTATTCGTAATACCCCATTGATCTCGCTTGTTGCGCAGGGTGAAATGGGTCCAAAAGGAGAGCCTGGAATCTCAGGAAACAGAGGACCGACAGGCCGGCCTGGAAAGAGAGGAAAACAGGCGAGAAGATTGTGTTGAATCGTGCAGTACATTTAGAAGAACATATTGGAACTCATTTTTCCCACTTAGCCTTTTATCGAGTTCCTAATCCCTGCACATATTCACTTTGGGAGGAATTTCATGTAAACCATTGGAAGAGGCTAAGAATTGCATGAACTACTGACTTAAATAGATCGCTGCATTGTTATCATATGTGCTGTATATTTCTAGAGCAAAACTTGAATTTGACGTTGACATATTCAAGGTGCCTCTATTACTTCATTTTGTCTCAGGGACAGAAAGGAGATCCTGGGAAAACTGGACCTATTGGACCTGCAGGTCCTCAGGGATCTCCTGGTCACCCCGGACCTCCTGGTTCACCTGCCGCAGGTACACGTGCAACAAGTTTCGAAATTTCTCGACTTAAAACAGACACATTTCTTTGCGACTATGCAAAACTTAAATGTCGAAAGATTTTTCTGTTTGTTTGTTTTTGTGCTATTTTTTGCCTCAAAGTTTGTCAAAGGCTGAAAGAACTCAGCAAAAGAAAAGCAGACTTTAGAGCAATGGGCCATGCATCACCACTAGTCTTATATAGCAGTAACGAAATGTGAGCTCCCGAGTTGAAACTGGAGGCTGTGATGATGACATCATGAGGCTAAAGTAAGTTTACACATGGCAGGCCTCCCCACAGTTTAGAAAATATTATGTCACCACATAACCAAAGTGACTTTTAACTGGCGCACTAATTGAGTCTGCTTCTTGATAGATGAATCATTGATACTGTATATGATGACTTGTGGTATTTAAATCACCTTCTGTTAGTTATTGATCATTTTCAGCTTATTCAGACAACCAAACGCCGGGCTTTTGACGTTTTCCTTCACCCTTAGATTTCGTTTTTATTCGTCCTTTCTGTGTTTTCAGCAATACGTCGATAATTCACGTCTTTTCTCGTTGCAGGGCTCTACATGGTTGGAGCAAAAGGGGCTCGAGGTCCACCGGGTCCTCCTGGGAACTGTGGCTGCAGCTCCCTCAGCACTTCACCATTTGATGACTACGCCAACACAGGAAGCTATCCCAAAGTGCCTGTTGTACGCAAAACTTGTTGCTATTAAAAAGATATACTGGGAATTATACATAAGTATAATTTAAAAATTAAGCCAGTCAAATGTTTTGAGAAACTAAATTAGTTAATTGTGTAAAAGTGTTTAGGTTTTTCCACTATACAGACATAAAAAAGAACATTTATTGGAATTTTATTATTATTTTATTAGTGTCGACACCAAAGGATTGTTGTTCTGCTAGAAGCTGAACCTCTGCTCCCATCTCAAGTCTTCTGCGACTGGTTTTCTTTCAGTATTATCCCACGTTTAGCCATGAGTAACTTTTCTGTTCCTGCTGAAGAAAAGTAGCCCCATAGTATGATGTAATCGATTGTAACCGATTTTAATAGCATACAGTTCAACTAACTAAAGCATCTGATCTGACTTGTTTGATCAGATGCTTTAGGTATTTGATCAAATATCTGAAACGTTCCCGTTTCAGATATTTGTGGTGAGTAACGAGGAGGAACTGGAGCGCCTTCACACCGACAACGCCCTCGCATTCCGAAAAGACCAGAAAACGCTCTATTTCAAAGACATTGATGGCTGGCTGCCAATCCAGGTATAACTGCATTCCGACTGTTATCCAATTGTTTTTTTTTTTTTTTTTTGTTAGGTGTTTCCTTTTTTGTTCAAGTCGCTAAAATTCTGCAAAAGACCTTTCCATTCCAGATGATGCCCTTCCAGTCCATGGAAAACGCACCTGACGATGAAGGTTACTGCGGTGACGGGATAGTGCAGATCTCCAACGGGGAGGAGTGTGATGACCGGAACAGAGTTGTCACAGACAGCTGCGTCAGTAAGTACACGCAAAATGTTCTTCAACAGCCTCCTTAGTTCTACTTTGCTGCGCACGCAGAACCTGACCTCCACACTCCTGCTGTCTCATCTTACTGTAGAGTGTAAACACGCTAACTGTGGAGACGGATACCGCTATGAAGGGGCTGAAGAGTGTGATGGAAAAGACTTTGGATACCAAACGTGTAACTCATATCTTCCAGGGTGAGTACAAAATATACCTGTTCTAGACGGCACTGTGCAAAAGTCCAGAGCGAGTTGTCACCTTTTTATATTTTGGTAGAAAAGAGAGCAATTTGTTTACTTTTTCTTCCTAAACTGCACTTTTTAAGCATTCTTTGCATTTTGCTGCTTTTTACTTGTTTTCTGTTGATATGGTGTTGATCTTCAGATGAGGTTTGTTTGCAACGCCACTTAACTCGTGCCATTATGTGACTCAGACATAAAAAGCTCCTGATTGAAAATAGCAGAGTCTACATAGAAAGTCCCTCGAAAAGCATTAATTTCTCTTGATGTTTTTCACGCTTACACACTACGACCACAAACTTCCATCTATTTTCATGCCATGTTTTTGGATTAAAGCAAGGCAAACTAGTCCATAATTATGAAGTGGTAGGAAAATTATTTGTAAAGCTTTTTAGAAGTAAAAACCTGAAGAGTGCAGGAAGTGTTTCTCTTCTGCCCTCAAAGCTTAGCAGAACCGCCTTTCAGGGCAGTTAGAGCTGGACATTTTTTTTTTTTTTTTGCCCATTTGTCTTTTTAAAATAGCTCATGCTCAGCCAGATTGGATGGAGAACATCTCTGAGCATTACTTTTAAAAGTCAAGTTGATGCCTATCGTTTAAATATAAGTCTGGATCCCAAGTTTCAACTCTTTTGAAGCCTCTAGAAGGTTTTCCATCCATCTTTCCCTCAACTGTGACCTGCTTCTCGCCGCTGATGAAAAACAAGTTGTCACTTTTTCCATTTTCTTGTGACAGGCCGAACAGTCATTTAGTTTGAAACCTACTTAAAACTTCTTCACCACTTTCACCCTGATGTGTCTGCCATATTCTTTGGCCTTGATGATGAAAATCTTCTGTTCATTTAAAGCATTTACAGACTTTATACAATTCAATTCAAAATTAATTTAACTATCCCAGAGGGAATCTACATGTAGCTCATTATCCCAAGTTCTTCAACGGGTTGTTGTAGATACAGACGACTGTCTACATGAAGAATTTCCTGTAGTGGTCTGTATTACAGCAGAGCTAAAGAAGCCTCTGACTGAAGACACTGGTGTTGTTTAACAGTTTCGTGAGGCGGATGTTCAGGGTTCTAAGTTTCTTGATTTTATGAAGAATCCTTATTTGCATCATGGCAGATGTTCCAGATCAGTGCTTATACTGAGGTTAAATCAACATACATGTTTACTAAGTAGGCAACGTCTGAAAGCAGATCATTATAATTCACCTTATTTAGGAATGCTTACTGATTTATAAACACACACATTGCACATTAGGCTGTCATAATCAGATGCAGCATGAGAAAGTGCAAACAAAGAAAACTTAACATAGAAATACTGCTCACTGGCATTTTAAGCCATAAGAAAATTTGGCATATTCAATAAAAATACAAAAAAATTAGGTAGCACTGAAAAAAAAAGCGTGAACGCCACTGGTTGTGTTATCTGCGTGAGAAAGAATAACAATCATCTTTAAGTTGACGTTTTTCTTCTGCAATTACAGGTCTTATGGTTTCCTCAAGTGCACACGGTACTGTGTTATTGACTCCACGAACTGCAAATTCTTCACTTGAGGAGGGATCTGGATTGTGCAGACGGATCCTTTGTGTAATGCTGCTCGACACGTGACGGGACTGTTTTCATGCAAACGACGAAAAAAAAAACATAACACGAAAAATGCCCTGTAAAAGCAAAAGACTCGGCAGGAAGAGGCAACAAATGTTCTACTGAAAAGAACAAAAAAAAAAGCTGACACATATGTACAAATGCACACACAACTCATCTGTTTCTCTGCGGAGACGCCCCGCCCGATGGTGAAGGCGTCAGAAGCGTGCAGGACAGCTGCACTCTGTCTTAACGAGCAGGACTTCCACAGGCTGCACCGGACTGGAGCCAAACCTTCTGGATGCGACGACCACGCAGGCCCAATTAGGAGACACTGCGTTGTGTTCCAGAGAAGCAGCAGCTGGAGCAGAAGCGCATTTATTCTGACCTGGCTACTGCAACAAAAGAAACAGGAGGGAGGCAAGCGGGGCGTCCAGAGATATTCTGCTCCGGGGTGAATGACAGCAAACAGCTCTTGCATGAAGCTGGGCTAAACCGCGCTTAACTTATCACAACAGTATCCAAATTTGCCTCTGACACTGCAAGGCAATCGGACCCACTCTGCTGTTTACTTAGGTTGGTTACTTAAAAATACTTCTTTTTTTTTGTTATTATTTGTTTATTGTACCCTCTCAGTATTAAGGTGTGTTTGATCATCAAATGAGATTGTTTCTGCAGAGATGATTCACAAGCTCTACAAAAGTTCAATGGTTGACTTAGCGTCAGCATACATCAAAACATAAGTTACACTCAAATCCAAACACAAACTCAGGAACTGATGTAGCTCTACACATGTCCCACTGTGTTTCTTATTTAAAAAAAAACAACAACCAAATGGCTCTGATTGTACTCTGACGCACACAGGCAACACAAACGAAACCTTTGACACATACAACAATGCATAGTCACGTTCCTCCCCTGTGCTTCAAAGCAAAAACAAAAGATGTGAAGGCTTGAAACTGTTATTGCTCTTAATTTTCCTCATTGCACATAACCAGCTGGACTTATCTGTAGCTGCTAAGGGGGGAGGAATTTAAAATTCCTGTCTGTTCTAAGGTCATTACTGTATCTACTCTTAATACCTCTTTATCCAGTTTTGTCTTATGAAGCAACGGAGAAACTCATTAGTATCTTGAACTGCGTACATGTAGTCTGCTGTGTGCTGAAAATAACCGTGCCGATATAAGCTGACATTTTCCATAAGCTACTGTATGAGTCCCAGTGCCAAGAAAGACTTTTTCCGAGCTCAGACTGTTAATGCATCATGTCTGCATGCATGACGGTGGGAAATACACCAGTTTTGTCAAGCGTTGTTTTCTTAGTCACCATCTGTTGGCATGACAGGTGTCTTAAAGGAGAGCCCTGTCCTAAGTGTAGCTTATTACCGTATGTATAGTGATGAACTGTGCCATGAACTAAAGATGAAATATTGTTAGAAAACCGCTGTGACTGTCGCGTCTGTGTGTGATTCTGTGTATGCCCAACACTGCTGGAACATGTATGTGGTAACGTACTGTACCATCAGGCTTCAAGAAGTCGTTATTATTATCATTATTATTATTATTATTATTATTATTATTATTATTATTATTATTATTATTATGCACTGTGACCGGGATTTATGTTTCATTATTCTGATATGATTTTTACAGTAGCTGTGGGGAATTTTGAGAAAGAAATCCAATAAAAGATCATTTAAATGACCTCATGTGATTGAACTCAGGGAGACGCTGCTGATGTTTCAGCACCAGATGTTAATTAGGTCAAAACAAAACCAGGGTTTTGTCTCTGGCTACCCTGGCTGTTGCAATAGAAAGAGTGGTAAATCCGAGAGATGGTGGCAGCATCATGCTGTGGGGATGGGAATTGTCACGACCTCTCAGATTTTTCTTTTGAAAATATTAAAACTTTTTTTTATAAAACCTGAAAACACCCCGAGGAAGGAATGAACAATGGGAGCATGGATGGTTGCAAAACATTTTTTTAGTCTGTAATTTTCAAAATTAGGTTATGTATAAAACAAATTCATATTCATATGTTGTGGAGCAATGGCCTTTTGGCAGATGTGTGCAGCTTTGATACAGACTGGAGCAGCTTATATATATGTATAAATTGCCATATTTCTCATGTGAAACATGGAACAGGGAATAAAGTCTGGAAACTTGGATACTCTTCAATATAGTTTATCCAGAACTGAATAAATTCAGTTCTGGATAAACTATATATATATCTCACAATCCATAGTTTTTAGGAGCCCTCAAGAGAGGTTTTCAGGTAATCTGCGTAGAGCCCTTCTGAGCCATGTCTTCACCCAGAGACCGGCGCAGGGCAATAAAAGTTGAAAACGGGCAGCTGGCCAGAATTGCAACTGAGATGCTTGGGGCTGCATCTAACTGTGTAAGTGTATTAACATAGTGCTTCCCTTTCCCAAATCACATCAAGACAATTTGTCCACAGAGATGCCTGAGTAAAAGCTTACCTTAGCATACTCATCCCATCATGTGCAATTCCTCTGACCAGGCCAATCGCATTTATTCCCGCAGACGTCTCAGTGCTGGAACAAGAAGATCACAAGCGCATCAAGAGGTGGTTCCACAGCGAGATAAATACAAATGCATGCCAAAACTTTTTATTTTTTTGTACTTCAATTGTACTTCCCTTTCACTTCATAACTATATAGCACTTTGTTTTGGTCTTACAAGTCAAGTTCAAGTAAAACACACTGAGGTTTGTAGTTGTTGGAAACCAGGCCGGGTAATGATAAAGTGTGCTGATTTTTCAGCTGACTTTTATGAAAGCTCAGTTTCCATTTTTCTACAGTTTTTACTTTGAAACACTATAAAAACTCGAATGAAGCATAAATCAACACACTAATATAAAGCAAAGAATATAAAAAAAATAAATTACCCATCTAAAATCTGCTATTTGGGCAAAATTTACAAAACAAGCATTTCACAACAGAAAATGTTGGTATTTTATATTTTGTGACAAACAACGAAATATGAAGTACCTTGACCCCACTAACTTCCAGGAGAAACAAAACCAAGTGTTATGATGATAACTGGCTTTTGGTCTCCAGTAAACTCGAAATGTGAGTTGCACTTCCTGTCTGTTATGGTTAACAAAATAAAAGCCCAAGAGGAGGTAGAGAACTTTCAAATGAAATAAAATTTTTAAAAAATCACTCGGTCTCTCTCCTTCCCTCTCTGGGTCATTTACTGTACTTGAAATGAAACTCTTCCTGGCATTAAATGAACAAACTGATATAATATCCTTCTCCTTCTGGTGTTGCACCTCAGCTGAAGGATGAGGGGAGACCAAACGTTTACTGCAGGAACGGAAAGCAGGGCAGGACCCAGGCCAAGTGACAATCTCTGACCCGCAGGAAGGAATCACTGGCACGCAGAGAGGAGTGTTCTTGTCAAGGACACGAAGTCTAAATACTCATTTGACACAATCATGAGAGAATACAAATTAATCACTGACACTTTCCATCGCAGCTGTGTAGACAGGCTGAAACGCGACAGCATTATTGAATATGTGTTGGCTACCACTGCAAAAAAAAAATTTTGAAAAATAATTATCCTAATTGTCATATTTAATTTGAAATTATGAAAAAACTTACTGCTCAACAAAGCATGCCTAATTAAAATGTTTTGATATGAACAATGTTTTCCTATTGAAAGAACTCCAAATGTAAAGCTTCAGTGATTGTTTATGCTTTCAAACCAGTGACCAAAGTGAGCTTTTTGATAATAAACACTCAAAATTGGTCTGGTGTCAAACTCAGAAAGTGTGTCAGAGCACCTCAGGTTTGCTGTGAAGATTGGTGGAGGGTCAGACAATTCAAATTCAAATTTACTCTGTTGATCCCAAATGGAAATAAAATACTTTCATCCATTAAATCCCTTACATAGTGGATAAAAAGTTATTTGACTTCTAAGCATATTTTTAAAGAAGGTTGCTGCAGAATTAAAGCTTTTCAATCATTTATTAGGCAAAAAAAAAAAAAAAAATCTGAGTCCAAAATTTGCTCATGGAAAAATCTTTGGGATCATAATATTTGAACAGTACATGACTATGTAATATTACAACAGCCCAATACTAGTGACAATTAAGTGCAACTGAAAAATATGAACAACTTCTACAAAGAAATTATGAATTTTATAGTATTTACTATGAATATTTTATATAGTATTTGTTATTACTACTCAGTAGTATTATATAGTGGTCTTTAGTGAGACCGCATTATCTCACTAAAGCTCAAAAATGTGGCTCTGGTTTGTTTTATCATGACACAAAATGAGCCAAACCTTAAAGCCAGCATCAAACTTCAACAAATGCATGAGAACTGACATCACAAAGTAATACACACATCCAAAACGAGGTGAGAGAGAAAAGAAAAAATGTCAGTGGACACAAAACCAAAAAATAAACACCAAAAAAAAAACGGTCACTTTAGTAACTGTCTTAATTTATTTGGCAAAATCCAAGCATTTGGCTCGTCTTCAGTCCAATATGGCATCGATGTTGCTTTAGCATATCAAACTTGCCCTCACTAAACATGCACCATGGATCCAATATTGATCCAGAGGATGTACAGAATTCAGAGACGTGTCAAATCGGACTTATTACACCATAAATATTTAAATGCACTGAGTGCATAGACTTGCTTCAGCATAAACAGAAATATCTCACTAACATTTCATTCTTGTGTTACGTCACTGACTAGGCAGCAGAGGCTTGTTTATGCTTCTCCTTTTTGGTCCCTTTAAACTCTTAACACTGTGGCTCAAAATGAGATGTAAAATAAAAACTAATGCGTCATAAAATTGTTGCTTTAGGGAAATAATTTAATTGATAAAATTACACAAAATATGTTCACAGCCAGTGTAAAAAACAAGAGCAAAAAAAGAAAAGCTAGCATGATGCAATTGAGTCAGTTCTGTAAAAGCACTATCAAATACTGGAGACTTATTATGTGTGCTGTGACACTATGACTGTTTATTTTGCCATAAGTGCTTTGTGCTATTACATGGCATCTCTTCATTTTATGAAGCCACATAAAACGTTTATGACATTAAAGGGTAG